ATGAAAGCTTAGCATGTTTAATTGGTCAAAGCACTGAAGAACTTAATGATATCCATATCGCTTGGCTTGGAACGCTGTATAGCGATGGTAAATGACTTTTTCTGCCTTAATTCGAAAATCTTGGATGATCTTTAGTTGCAACAAAATTACTGTGCAAATAAATTATCAATTTATTGTAGTAAACCTTTGGCGCGCGAATTATCTGGGGAGCCCATGGCGTGGCTTTCAAAATCGTGGCGGTTTGAGATTATTGTCGCACCAGCAGGGTCATTCCTCAGGCCTCAGCTTACCGCTACCCTTCTTATAGCATCCCGCAGCTGGTGTCCAAACTTTCAGCTGGGTTAAAGTTATCCTGGCAGGTGAGATTAAGCTGGCTAACACAGTGGCTCTCACATAGACGAAATACATCCATATTGTTGGCAGGCACACTACATGCGACTGTGCTGCTAAACTCCTATTGTGCCTCTAGTGTGAAGAACTTAAGTATTCGTTCTGGCCCTTTGGTCATTGCTGATTGAAGATCTTGCAATCTATCTTGTCTACCGTAAGCCGAACATTCACAGATTACGTGCTCCACTGTCTCCAAGCATTCCTTGCATTTGTGACTTTGTGAGTTTAGTATTGTATGTTTTACACACAGTCTTCGCGATTCTGCAGCCCTTAGCTTGTCCCCAGTACTTCTTGCTTCTTCTTCACTTCCTGGGATAGAATTGGAAGGCGCAATGTTGCGTCCTGCTCTAAATGGATACCCTCCTTAGCAAGTTCATAAGCTATCGCATTACCTTCAATGCTCGTGCGGCCTTGCAACCATTAAATATGCACTCTTCTGTTTTCAGTCAGTGCTTGCATCGCTTCCATACATAAAGCGACTACAGCTGACTTCGTGCTGTATTCTTTTCGTTTAAAAGCCGGCACGCTGCAGTAGCTCTGCCACCATTTTTATGGCTAAAAATTTCGTGTTCCTGGCAGTGAGGAAGTAATGCGAGTGGGGTCGTAAGCTGTAAGCTGGATGAACCCCAAAAAAATATTTTTTTCCTGCATTTGATTGTTTTTTCTTCCCCTGGCTGAGTCAGCGTCGATAAATCCCTCTTCGTTTTCTTTTCCATTGTCCATAAGTTGGCTCTTATAAGTGGTTAGCGACACACCGTTGGCCGACCTTCTTTGTGCGGTACTCGTTTAGACTTTATCTTAATGATAAAGCTAAATTTTTGGCCATAACATTGAATTATATGTGCTTTATCTTCACTTGAAAACCAAATAACCAAGAAAACACCCTTTATAAACAAAAATTCAATAACTATCAAATGACTTTCATAAGTCAAAATATGGATCTATGGCTTTTCAAAAGTCAGTCGCAGTGAACAGTAAAAATACGTCGCACTATAAAAATAAATTAAAAAACAAAAATATAAAATTCATTTGAATGCTACGCCACCCTTTCGAATTTCAGTTCATTGAACGTAAAACTAAATTGCATATTAAAGGTTTTAAAATATATTTAAGCACAAAATTGCAATTTTTTTTCTAAAGTACACACTAAAATTTGATAAGTGTCATATTCATTAATTCAACACAAAAAATACAAAAAAAATTACAGCAAAAAAAAAAAATAATAATAATATTGCCCACCTACAAAAGTCACTGCATACTAAGGTTCGTCACCAGTAAAATATTCTCACGGCAATCATAAGTATGCACATAGTACATATCTACATATATAGTATATTTAACTGCTTACTTGTAAGCAAAATTCGTAGTAAAAGCGCATTGTTGGGTTATGCAAGTCTGCATTTTACGCCCGATGCCTGTGAATGAATTTTTGTTGACAACAAATACTCTCTTCCTGTACGATGTCCTATGAAATGTTTTGCTGCATAATAGTATGTACATATATTGACAGATATATATATATATATATATATATATATATGCATGTAGATAACTTGAAGGGTAAATTACGCGCCAATTTTCTTTTAAAAATATTTTGATTAAAGGTTTATTGAACTATTGCCACGATATCGTTAAATGTTGCCTCTGAATATACATACATATAGATATACATATGTAAGTATGTATGCACATATGTAGTTGGAAAACAAAATATTATGACTAACAAAAATTAAATTTCATATTACATGTTCTTACTACGTTTTGTACAAATGTACACGATCAAAACACATGACGTGGTTTGGTTTCTTTTCTTACTTTTTTACTTTACACATTTATGCTACATATAACGGTATGCAAGTGAGTCGGTCAAATATCGCAGAATGCATGCAAAAATTTTTAACATAAATATAATCAAGTAGGAAGTATGCACACATACATTTATGTATAATTTTGACATTAACGTGACAAACTTTTAGTTGAACGACAATTAAACGTAGTTTGAATTATCACCAGATCATTTTTATACCAAAAAAATTTCCAAATATTAGGTTCAGTAAAAACCAATATTTCTACAATAGATGGCTTTAGTGATCTCGATCTCGCGTTCTATACGTGCGATTGGATTGCGCTAGAAGGCGTTGGAAAGATGATATTTTGTACTAAAAAAGAAAAGTGTTTTGATCATTCAACACAGTGGTGTTTGAACTCATGTCAAAGAGAAAATTCGCAAAATTGAAAATAAAAATAGTTTTTACGGTCCTGATATTACAAAAGTCACTCATGCACATTTTTGGTTTTGTCCAATATGTTTGCAAATATTTATCCCAGAAGCTAAACATTGCATAAAAAGCACTGATCACTTGAGAAAGGCTTGAAGTTCGATGTATAGATGAATGTCACATGAGTTAAAAAGAAAAATCTTAATGGACCGAATTCCCATCTGAGAATTGCAGCTTAATCGCAAAAAAATACAACCATTTTTGAAGCCCTTACAGCAACGTCAAACGAAAATTGTGAAGGGTAGTGAGCCGGCACAAACGGTTTTCAAGCCAGGATTGATGTTCGGGAAAGTTTTCTGTGTGTTTGGTGGAATTGACAAAGAATGACTCACTATGAGCTTCCCCTATGCGGCCAAACTCTTAATTCGGACTTATACTGCCAGCAATTAGATCGTCTGTTAGAAATAGTCGGCTAAAAGCGCCCAGATTTATTCAAAATGAGAGAAATTCTGTTTCATCAGGACAATGCAAGATCACACACATCGAGAGTTTCTCGCCAGAAGCTCCAAGAGCTTGATTGGGAGGTTCTCATGCATCTAATTTATAGTCTGGACCTAACGCCAAGTGATTACCATCAGTTTTGTTGTGTGCTTGGTGGGATTGACAAAGAATGACCATGACCATGTGACCTGTACTGCCGGCAATTACATCGTCGGTCAGAAATAATTGCCCGATAGCGCATAGCTTTGTTCAAAACGAGAGGAATTGTTTTCCATCAGCACAACGCCAGGCCACACAAAGCGACAGTGAAACGCCAGAGGTTTCGGGAGCTTGGTTGGGGATTTCTTAGGCATTCACCTTATAGTCTGAACCTAGCGCCCAGTGATTAAAATCTGTTCTCATCTATGGCCAATGATTTGGCTGGTTAAGAATCGGTCTCAAGAAAAGCTTGGGAAATTTGAGTACCCTAATCTTTTGACAAGAGTGTTTATGACAGAGTTGTATTGACATAACCTTGAAAAAAGTATATGCCAAAATAATGGATTACTTTTTACTACTGAACAATTTCCTAAAATTTTGATATTTTCTCTAATATCTTGATAGCCAATATAATTCTTTAAAAAGTTTTTATTTTCATAAAAAATATACTTAAAAGTATTTATCTTTTACGACGAAAAAAAGCAAAAAGAAAAAAATTTATGTACGAGTATTTAGAAAAAAATTGATTTTTCAGCATCGTAATCTTTATTTTGTTTTTTGATGACAGACTTGCCAGAGGCGTTTTTTTATTTCTTCAACATTTTTTTTTCGAATTAAATTAAAGTATTTTTTGAATTTTGAATTATGAACATGCATATAAAAAATTTTCCAAATACTGACAGCACCGCCAAAAGGATCGCCGTAGCCGTTTTTCAGATTAAAATGGGCGGGTTTTCTGCATAAAATGTCGATATTATATATTTTTATTTCCTACAGAGTAGGTAAGTTTTTCATTGATTGACTTAGAAAAGCTTTGGAAACATAAAAATATAAAAATTTCAGTAACAAATCGCATCCTAGTGAAATAAATAACTGATTTACAGACGATTTGCATTGAAATTAGGCAATGCTTGACCGTACTTTCAGCCTTTTCCATCGTAAGTTGTTGAGCCCAGGACAAAGAGAAGTCGTCAACATGCCGTTAATGTACGACCAAGATGCTCGAACGAAATGATTGAAGGTATCAGAGAGAGAGAGTGTTGCATTTTGAAAGAAGCTATGACTGTGATTTCCTATCAATCGGAATTAACACACAAAATATTGCTGACCAACCGTCCACATAAGTCAAACAATCGCTCGAATGGCTGACACTGAAATGGATTTTTAAAAGAAAAACTATGGTGACTGACAAAAATTTTGCGACGGTTGAAAACCAAAATTGCCGAGACCCATAAAATGCATTGTGTTCTCAAAAAATTACAGTTTTAGTCTGGAAGTATGACATCAGATAAAGGTAATATGAGCCAGCCACCTAGATCTCCAGATATGAGTCTTACCTACTAAGAAAGCGAAAAATTCTTCAAATATAAAAATTGGATGCTTTTTAAGGTCATTTTATTAGTTTTCATAATCCTATGTAAAAGGTAGCGCACCTTGTCTTATTGTGGGAAAAAAGCTCGTATTTAATGAATATTTATTTTGTTAACCTAGAAGTTGCCGGGGCGTATGAGTAATGCTTTGCCCAAATACCAATTAAATCAAAATGCCCATATACATTGGTTGATATTATGTTATTTTAATGCTATCATTCTAAATATATATCAGTTTTTTTGAGTAAAAAAAAATGTTTTGAATTAGATCACTATTTTTAGAAGATAATTGACTCGTTTTACAGTAACAAAACCTACTTACTGAGCGCCTTGAATAATTAGGTAGATTCCTTTTCCTTTTTCCTATGTAATTTATAGCAGCTGATGAGCAAATCCTTTGCTGTTTAGTGTAAGAGGCAAGAGTCTCGGGTTCAGGGCGTCCGGACTGTCACTGTTGGATTTTTCGATTATCTCCCGGTTGGTTGGATAAATAAATTCCATATAAATTTAGATGCTGGCTGTACCAGTGCTCGAACTCTGGTCTATCGAATGTCAGTACGCAAAGCTGACCATTCGGATATTGCGACTACATTATCCTAAATATACCTAAACAATTTGAAACAATTAAACACTTATAAATTATCACTTACAATATAATACCGAACGGAAGTTATACAATCAATTGAACCCTATCGGTATTTGGAAGAGCATTAGAAAGGCTTAGATATTATTAAACGATTTTGCGTATTAATATTAATATTATATTATTTAATATTTTTCTAATAATTTATTTTTATTTTATGTAGCTAAATTTAAAATATTTTCTTAATTTTAAGTTATTTTATATTTTTAAAATTATTGCAAAATAATTAGAAAAAAACAACGCTTGCATTTTCGTAGAATGTCAATGACCGATCAAAAATATATATATATATATTGTAATGCCAGAAAGGAAAGTAACAAAACGAGATCAACTTGAATGACAAATATGTATGTTAGAAGAGCGTAACAAACGAAGAGCGTAGAATGACCGTTTAAAAAACAAAACAAGCCGTTAACTTGCGGGAATAATAAAATTCGTTTATTTGCATTAAAAATGAGAAAAAGCTGAGACAAATAAATAAAAATAATAGTCGCTGAATGACACTGAAAAATGCAGGCAAAGAATGCAAAAAAATAATAAAAAAAAAATTAAAAAAATTATAAAAAATATGTTTGCACATAATAAATTAAAAACAAAAACAAAAGCAGGGCAGAAGGTGAGGCGTGGCTCTTGTCACAGACTGATAAGAAATCAACAGCAAACAGTTAAAACAGCGGAGTAGATGTTTTGTTCATGATTCGGCAAATATATACGCCATCATAAAAGTAATACGTATAAATGTAAGTGAGTATACGCGCAAACAAAATTAAAAAAAAAAATTAAATAAATAAGAATTAAAAAAAAACATTGTTTCTGGGGATTTTTATGCATATTCATCTCATTTGCATGATAATAAATATATCTGCATTTCTATACATACATACGTACATACATGCATACACATTGCAAGTGCAATGAACGCTGTATAAGTTCACTGTTTACTGTGCACAGAAGTTACACGTATGAACGTATGAGCATTTGTAACAAAGTAGAACGTTCTCCAATGCAGCGCTGTGGCCAACCTGTACATATATATGTAAGTACGTATGTTATGAATTTTAATGCAAACTATTTTGTTTTTACACAAAAATTTTTTTTTTTTTGAATTTATTTTTTTATTATTTCTTATCGTAATTTTTAATTGACGTGAAATCATTCCTCCAATTCTCGAGATAAGGTCAAGGTGCGTCGTACGCACATATGCACAAAGATATGTATGTAAGTAAGCTAATAAAAGCAATCGCCGCTATATCGCGTGCTGGTCTCGTGTGGTTTTTCCCCACAACACAGCAAAACATTGAAGGAAAAAAAACATTTACAATTTCAGTTCAGTAACTTTTTTCCACGACAAACTCGTATACTATGGAATATTTAGTGATTACAATGGAAATATTTAAATACAGCTTCCAGACATTAGCAAGAAAAAAGAATTAAATGAGACTTTTGATGATTAGCGACTGAAAAAAGTTTAATGAGTGCTTATACTTAATTATGGACTTTATAGCTCATATGCATACATATGTATAATAGTTACCCATGCAATTAACACACACCCATATGTTTGTATGTACATACGTGTATGTGAACGAAAACTAATATGCTTATTTGCTTGACGTTCGCTATCTGTGCCGTTCAACATGCCTTTATATGGAACTTGCTTGATAAGCGTTCGAAAATTCGTGGAATCGCCAATGGGAACTTAATCCAATATGGATTAATGCTAATGACCAAGGAAAATTAAAAGTTAGAGGGGTAAAAAAATATTGCACAAATTCTATATAAACGTTACAGTTTATTTATTTAATTATAAAGTTCAAGGAAACCAAATGTACAAACATACAAAACTGTGCCGGGTATACGGTGTGAAACTTGTGTCAACAACTTAATTCATAAACAATATGTATGTATGTACTACTAATTATTACATTATATAATAAAGTAAGGTGTGCAAATATGATTATTTGCATTTATAATTACATTGCACAGACTACAAAGTCTTACAATTTTTTACTTGAAGCAAAAGAAGAAAAATTATATTTGTATATATATGTATGTATTACTATGCATATAACAATTATTTCACTTTCTATACATAAGTGTATGTTTTTGTCTACTGTTGAACGTGTAAATGAAAGATAACCGCGCAATAAATGAAATGATAAGGGTTATCTCTCGCTTTTTTTTTGTGGAAACACTTTCTCATGAAATGTGTTAAATTTTTTGAATTATTTTGAAAGCTTTAATACTGAAACATTTTCAAACATACATACATACATACGTATTATAAATCAATTGCACTTAAGATTATTATACAATAATCAAGATACCTGGAGCGGAAAGTCTAATACAGCTGGAGCAAATATTTCCTTCCGCTGCCTAAGAAGAACTAAGAAGAATTAAATTATTTCGTGGAAACAAGTGTTAAGAGCTTATGCAGTATGCCTATTCTTAATTGAGAACAAAAGGTGCTGGTCTAACTTTTATTTAGTTATTAAATATTTATAAAACATTAATCTTACATATATTTCCACTGAACTGAAAAGAAAACGAAATTAATATTCACTTAAAATTCAAAAATAAATTTCAGTAAAAAAAATAAAAAAAATAAAAATAATTTTTGCTTATATTTTAATATGGCAAATATTTAATACAGGATTAAGAAATCATGTTGCATACATGGGTATCAATCTTGAATAACGTAAACAATTTTAACGCAAGCTTTGCTCAAGGAATTTACCTTCAAGCAAGGGAATGAATATTGAGTATTAAATTGATTTTTAACAATCTTAACAGCGTGAACGGAATCGAAAGTTCTCACCGTTCAATTTTAATTTTTTTAGGGGAAAGTCAAGTAGTCCTACTAAGCTTTAAATAAACATTTCCAGTGAAGATAACCACGAGGTGTGACAATTAAGTAATAAGACTGTTTCCATAAAAACCGTGTATTTCAAAATTACTCTACAACTCTGCCATCCCCTTCAAAGTAGTCCCCTTGGGCAGCCATTTCTGAAACGCTTCGACTGGGATGTCCGCGAGTACCAGGCAACGGTCACCTGAATGTCCTCAATCGACCGACTCAAGAGGGTTCCTTTGTCCACCGAATTTGCTCTAGGGGAGCGTACGGAGACAACCATTGTGAGCTTTGGCGTTTGGTTTCCGGATCGTATTGAAAAACCAGCTCTCTTTACAATTTTGGCGTATGTTTCCGAAGCTGTTTCGCTCAATTTGGAGCAAAATTTGATGGGTACGCGTTGCTCTTGATTTCGTTTTTCATTTTCGTGGCGAGCACCACTAGAACACGTTTACCCAATACGACGCTAGAGCGATAGCAAATACAGCAATGGAGAGGAGAAAGATGCCGGGAGAAGGGAAAGAGAATTTCAAGGTTGCAGCCCACTACTTGGAAGATAAAAATGTATCGAATTTCAAATATATTGAATCATAAACATAAATAGGATCAGTCGAATATTCGAAGAGTCTCTGGTTTGTTTCTCCGATGTTTCTAACGCTTTAAATTATTACACAATTACAAAAAGTTCTGCGATTCATTTTTACATATATATTATAAATGTCTAATGTGTTTATTTCCTGAGATTATCCCGGTATCTTTAAGCAAGAACGGTAAAGTTTTGTAAAAAAATTAAAATTAATTAAAAATAATTAATCATCAATTCAATTACAATTTTTCGGAACAAATTAGATGGATTTATTTTTATATATATATATTTCTTAGAATGTGGTAGTGCGTGCAAAAATATTACATTTTTATATTTGAGTTCGGAAGAGCTGTCTGACCCATTGGGTCTCAAATAGACGATAATACATCAATATTGTATTTTGAATTGAATGTTGAACGAAAAATTTTCAACGATTTATTTGAGAAAAAAGTGATAGTAACGTTATGTTCCGATGTCATTTCGTTTTGTTAATATGAAAAATAAATTTAACGAAATTATTTTTCCTCGTTTCGATGTCATATTATCGCTGTGTCGGAGATCACCATATCTCCCCGAACAACGGATCCTGATTTAACAACCAAGTGCCAATAACAGCCATATAATCTGTTGTTGTTAATGTTTAAACAGCACAAACTCTTTTTTTAGGGTTAATTTTAAAATGTCTGCTTACTATTATATTAACAGCGCCCTAAAATTTTAACATTCAACATCATCTGTTAACGATTTAACATCATTTGTTAACGATTTAACATCATTTGTTAACGATTTAACATTATCTGTTAACGATTTAACATAAACGACAGCGTTTCGTTACAGGTAAAAACGAGATATAATTTATTTTGATAATTGCTTTAACTATAGCACTTCCAAATTTTTCAACCGAAACGATTGAAATGTTTTGATTAACATGAAACACATCGTTAAAAGGCAGCGTTTTGAATTAAGCTTTGGATTTGACACTTTGTTATCAATAAAACTGATGTTCGCCTAATCGCAGTGTTTTGCACTTTCATTGAACAAATTTATACAACTTAAATATATTAATATTAAAAATCAATTATCATTCTCAATACTATGTATGCACACATACACACATACATACAATACGTAATACACGTGCTGCTCGCAAAAGCGCTACTCATTTCCAATACAAAGTCTAGAAATTCCACTATTTAGCGAACCATATAATTAAAATAAATACTTTGCAGATTTTTTTTTATTATGATTTACAACGATATCAAAGTTCAATGGTGTGGAGGCTGTAAGCAAATTTCCATATTTTAAAGATCAACAGAAAGCAATATTTATTTAACTGTTGCTCGGTTGTAAATTAACTACTAACATAGTTGTAATGGAAATTTTGTACACTTTGATTCACTCACATACATGCATACATACATAAATGTGTATAAACAAATGATTCTAAAATTCCTAACTACATATAAACACCGAAACGCTGGCTCGTCATTGCCCCATATTACGTCATGTCCCCCTCAAGACAAGTATTATTCACCATTGCC